GATTAGTCCATTAGACTATGGTGTACTTCCCCTTAATTCTATGTTTATTCCTCATTCATATTTCTTGGTCTTCATGTTTATTCCTCATTCATAAAACAAGGCGTTGAACTTCTTATTTTTTTTTCTTTGTTTTTTGGTTTTGTAACGACTTTTGCAATACTCGTGCCTCATCTTAGGTAAGCCGAGTTGATTAACTAATATACAATTGAGATAAGGCTTGAATGATGATAATTAACTAAGATACAAATACAGAAATGTTTAGTAATTTGGTGAGAGGCATCGTTGCATGACCCATGGCGGGGTCTATTTGCAAATTGCAAGCTGTCTCATGGTCCAGCTTTTGTTGCTTAACGAAAAAACAAATTGTAGAGAGAAACAGCGAGAGAGAGATTCCAAGCATGGAAGGAAAGTACACTGTCTCTCATGACCACTGAAGATAGTTGGTCATGACTCATGAGAGTCATAACCATTCAATTAATGCGTGAGAGAAGAATGAAGAAAGTGGGAGCCAACAGCAAGGTTTGTTTGTCACACCCTCTTTATCACCATCCAACACATTCATCGGACAGCCATGGCCCTCATGGTTGAGGGGGAAGGGATGGTTTAGGTCAGGTTTGGGTTGACTTGGACCCAACCTGTTTGTTTCTAAGTTACACTTGGATCCGGATTGGGTCAAGGCAATTGGCCTTGGATTTACCCGAGTAGGGTAGGATCTGGTCCTGTTCTATAATAAAAAATATAAAAATTAATTTATGTATTTAATAGTATGCTCCAGTTCTATAATAAAAAATATAAAAATTAATTTATGTATTTAATAGTATGCAGTTAGTATTATTTATATATATTGTTTCCTAATAAATGTTGTGTCGGGTCAGGCGGGTTGACCTCAACCTAGTAGGATCCAGGTTGTAGTCAAACCTAGACCTAAACTTGGTTCAGGTCAAGATCAAGAGGACCTAGACCCAATCAAGTCCATCGCCTAGGTCCAGACTTGGATCCGATCGGTTCAACCCTTTGGTCTACGGTTCAATTTGACCCCTTTCCCACCCTTACTCATGGGTATATATCTCTTACGTTCATGACCACATGTTCCTTGTGGTCACGAACTAGAGTATCCTTTCCAATGGAAATAGCATAAACATGTGCATAGTTAACTAACACTCTAGGGGGGTTGCATAGAGGTGGGTCCCACTGCCATTGCATAAACGTGCAGACACGTGCGATGGGGCACAGGTTTTACATAACTAAGGAATTAGCCCCATTATATTTATCACCGACCACTTATAATCGACGAATCTATCCTTTAATTGTCTAGGGTTGATTATTTAAGACATTGAAGTAAGGGTTGTACAACGTGTTAATACTAAATAATCAAACCTTAAACAACTAAAGTAAGGGGCATCGTGTTAAAAGATGCAATTTTGGTGCTGAAAGCCTTTGTGATTGTATGAAAATCAATTGTCATCCTTAATTATGAAATTTAAAACTTAAAAAATGGTGTCATTGAGCAGATCTATAGACTACTAAATTTTTTGAAAATGAATGTTATAGCTAATGAGTTACAAGATGCACTACGTATCTGATTAGAATTTTTTTTGTTTTATTTTCATATCAAGGTCAATGATCAATTCACAGGTTCTCTAGCATCGGATCAACCTTTTGTGATGGGTTTTTGAGGTGCTCCTTATTTCAATAATATAAGGTTGACATCCTATATAAACTTTTATTTTTCTAGAATCCTCGAAGCAAAGAAAAGAATAGTTTGTTACTGTTGTAGAATGCGAACTGAGGATGTTACTTGGTATTCCATCATTTGGAATTCATGCTCTCCCCTAGAATTTCGATTCTGGCATGGAGAGTTTTTAAAAAGAGGCTGCCCACTAATGAACAAATACTTAAGAAAGGAGTATCCTTGGCGTCGAGAAGCCAGCTATGCTTGCAACATTCTGAAGACTTGTAGTACGTCTTTATATCCTGCAATTTTGCTGTTAACATTTGGAATAATATTTTTGCTCTATTTGGCATTACTCTTTTCCTTTTTTTTATTTTTTTTCAGGAACTCGTGGAAAGATGGAAAAACCAAAGTTTTCTAGCCCAATTGGTTCCCTTTGGAAATGCATTTTACCGATAGCTATTCATTCCATATGGCAGGAAAGGAATGCTCAATTTTATGATAGGAAGAAATCCTCCCTATCTCAGATCATTTGCTGCAATTAAGTTCTCTATCAGAGATGTTGGCTCTATTCTAAAATGCGTGTGCTCTAATCCTCTTGAGCATAAAATTCTTGATCATCTTGGAATTTATTATTCTTTGCCTAGAGCTCCAAAGATAATGGAATGTGCTTGGTCCTTGCCATCTTATGGGTGGTATAAAATCAATATAGATGGAGCTGCCAATCCAGGCCAAATTGGTTTTGGTTGAATTGTCAGAGATTGGTCTGGCTCTTTTGCTGACTACTTCAGATGTGCCACTAATTTCTATGTTGAACTTACTGCACTTTTCAGAGCTTGCTCGTACCAAACAAATTGAAAAATTATGGATTGAGAGTGATTCCAAACCTCTTATTGCTGCTGTTAACTCTCAGTCTTTTCTTTGAAGATTTCATCAGAGATGGCTTGAGATTACACTATATATATATGGATTCCATTATGTGGAAAATATCTCACATTTTCAGATAAACAAATGTTATTGCAGACAAACTTGTCAATAGATGAATTGAAGTCCAAGTAAATCAAGATTGGAGCAATGTTCTTTCTGGAATGGAAGATGAATTGGCTTAAGATGCCTTAGAAAGACCAAGGTTCAGATTCATTAAAGCCAAGCATTGATTTTCGTTGAGATTTCTCAACTTCTTTTCGGTTTGTTTGATCCAGCATGAATACTGTTGATGACAATGCCGAAGGTGGTATTCATATTGGAAATTTGTGACTTGTAATACGCTCGAAGTATGCCTTGGCATTCATTCATGCACCTTATTCTTTCATTCATTTATAAAATTCATCGCTTACCCTTTAACGAAAAAAAAAATAGTTTGTACAGAATTAGACTGCTATTTGTAGGGATATTCATATTTTGGCCTTTTCTTTTTAGAGTGTTTAATCTAATCTTGTGCATAAAATCACTTGTTTCTTATAATTTACAGTTCTGTTTTGCTTTGCTACAACTACCTTGCTTTACCACACCACCTGGAAATACACCCCCCCCCCCCGGCCCCCCTTCCCCAAAACAAACAAACAAAAAAAAAAACATATTGTAACAATAATAATGCATTGAATATCAATGCGTGACACCCCATCATCCATAATGTTTAGGTTCACACTTCTAGCAATGTCTCGAGAATAGAACATATCCTCCTCTGCAATGCATTTAGTTATTTGGAGTTGCTTGGTCTGGAGTTTTATTTGTGTACTCATCATCATCATGACTTTTTCCTAAATATTTGAGATCGATTAGTTTTAAAAGGCGAGGTTTTGATGAGGCCTTGAATTTACACTGCTGCACCTCAAACGTTGCCAGAAATTCAGACCCGTGCTAAATAACATTGTGATGGCATGAAATTCCATTTCGATCTTGACTGTGAAATTGGAGTACAAAAATGATTTGTTAAGTAAAGAATGAGTTCGTGAAGACTGGGGCTTTACACAGCTGCAACTCAAAATCTCATTGAAAAACTCACCTCTTGTGGTCGAGGAAAAGCATTGCAAAAAAAAAGAAAATAAAAGAATGGCCTATTTTAAGAGATAAAGTTGATTTTCTTTTTGTAATATCCATGTTAATCGAAGTGAAGTCAACGAATATAGAGTTTCTAATACCAAGACTTGTTTTTCCTGCATGCCACAGCCTCACCAAGTACTTTTCTTTAAGAAATGATCAAAATAATTAGGCTTTCTTGGGTTTTAGTGGAGCTTATATCATTGAGGTGCCCATGACATCAAAAGGTGCACGGAAAATTACTTAAACGAGGCATATCCACCTTTCAACAAAGTGTTGGAAGGTGGCGATAAAACACTATTAGATATTGTAAAAGGGTAAATGTTTATATAAGGTTCAGATCTCAACATGTAGAATTAATGTATATCTTAAAAATCCCTCAAAAAAAGTTGCTTCCATGTTGGAAAAACATCTAATTGATCATCTCAACATCGAGATGTTCGACATCAAGATGTATGAATAAGGAGAAAAGAAAGATTTTCAAGTCCCAAAAATGGTACATATTCTGACACATTATTTGAACCGCCTATTTTCAATATTTTCATGCATTTATAGATCTGCTTGATTTAAAACATTTTTTAGTTCAAAATTTTATATATCACATATGAAAATTGATTCTTGTGCCTTCCGTATAATGTTTCACCAAAATCTTATGACAAAGTTTGGAGGTGTACCTTTGATTGTTTAAGGTTGCAACCTTGTGCAAACCGCATCCTTACGAAAACCACTTGCCCCATAAATTAAATGTCACATTTTTACTGTTTAACAAAGTTTGGATTCCCCATGGTGAACAGCTACAAGCCTAGTATATCCTCCCACCCTCTCTTCACCCAAAGCCCTCAATTGAGGGCCAAGTATTTGGCCAGTAATTAATGGACCCGCTTTTGATGAGTTAGTTGACTCACCTATTTTGGTGCATCTCCTTAGGCATCAAAAAAACCTCCATCAGTAATATGGAGGTCTATACACCAAATTGGACCGTATAAAAGGAAATTCAAAAAGCGCTATTCTTATTTTTCAAAGAAGAAAATTTCCAAATTCATGGAGATCATCATCATGATTGAGATTAGCAAACCCTCAAATTCTGAATCCAAAATCCATCTTTAAGATGAATTTTGGAGAAGGGAAGTACGTAGTCGACCGACTCAACAAATACTTTTTAGTCATTGATACTCGATTGAGCCGAAATTATCCCCACCGTACAAATGAACTGGGCTCCTCCTAATGGATCATGCACTTCGCAAATCAATAGCTTGTTTCCGCCAAATGCACTCTACAGGAAAAAAAATAATCAATAACTTGAAGAGTACTGACCTTATAGGACCCTCCCACACCTACAAGCATAGGATCCCACCGGATCAAAATTAAATTTCTATCTAAATCTCAAGGTGAAATTTCAAATATCCTGACAAATATTTTTTTGTGCATGTTTGACCATCTAATCAAGATCCTTCCAGCAAATCATTATTCTCTCTAAACTTGAAAGGAATTGATGGAAAGTTTCCCACTCTTACCTATCAAATCATTATTCTCTCTCTAAACTTGAAGGGAATTGATGGAAGGTTTCCCACTCTTACCTATCAATCGCCTTCTTCCTCACACACCTCATATACTTCCTCATGCCACTGTCCTCTCTCTCTTGTACTGTAAACCAATTCTCTCTACCAAAAACTCTCTTCCGTGCACTGCAAATTTCCACCTCATACCAGTTCTCCTCCTCCTTCAGTAGCAAACCTCCTCCTCTCTGTAACTCATATAACTCCTCAACCCCCCATTCGTATACTCAAACATTTGTCACCCATTTTCAGGCCTAACTATTATCATCAGCAACCATTAATCTCCCTCATTAACACTTCTCTCCCTACTTCGTTAGACCTTAAAACCAATACCCACTAACCCTCTTCCTCAACCGCAAATTTTAAGATAATTGTAGAACTCAACCAGGATTTCAATTCAAACCAGTAACCCAATAGCTAGCATTTCAATTTAAAACAGTAACCAAAAGCCAGGTTTTCAATTCAAATCAGTAAGCCAAGTTTTCAATTCAAACAAATAACCTTCCAGACTCAGCTTTCTCTCTCTACAACACCAAGCCCTGCAACAATTTTAATTGCAATTTTCTCTCCCCCCCATCCTTCATGTTCTCTCTTTCCCAGCCACCTCCCTATTCTCTCCCACATATGCTTTATATTTTTCTAAGAGAGAGGGCTTCTGATAAGAGATAGACAGAGGGTATCCTTTTAGAAAGGGGGGGGCTTCTTGAGAGATAGAGAGAGAAAGGGTTGGAGTCTCAGTTGACAGTGAAGGACCCTTGCCAAAACGAAAGAGGGAGATGAATGGAGAGAGACGCAAGCTATTGCCATAGAGAGAGAGGTAGGTTCTCTGTTGAGAGAGTATGTTTTTAATGAAAAAAGGAAAAAAGGGATTCAAATTTTACCTTGAGATTTGAATCCAAATCCCCCGGTGATCGGTAGGGGTCCCATACTTGTAGGTGTGGGAGGGTCCTATAAGATCATTACTCATAAATTAAATACTGCAAAGAATGCGAACAACCACCTCACCATCATGATATATCTGGATTACAGATTTCAGCCTGAAAATCAGAAATTCACAAAATGGAAGATTAATCCTAATTCCTCACTCTTTTATGTGAGGGACAGGGGGAATTTCCACTGAGGCTAAATCCCCAGGATATGGAGTCCAAAGCCCCAAACCTCCCTTGTTCTCTTTCAACTTAGAGTTTTTCTCAAATTCTGTTATGTTTTTCACCCATTCGACTTTGGAAGAATGCTCCCTTGTGTGCTGGTGCAATATGAACAACGAATTGTATTCACAATTTGGGAACATAAAGAATTTGAATGCACCTTTCAACCTGTATAAAACGAAGCCAAAGCTCAGCTGGTCCCTAGGTGTGAAGAGGTTCACCTCATTGAACCACAGGCAGCTGAACAAGTTGGTCAGCGGCGTATGCTCTCGGATGATAATGGCCCCTTCAGGGACATCTGCATTTTAAAATCAAGTAACATTCAGTAATGGGAAAACAAGACAGGAAATTACAGACCCACAGAGCAAAGTGACAAAGCTCACTAGCTTACATTATAAGAATTAAGAACGGTTAAGGAATTAATACGTTGGAAAATTGGTTCTGAGAATTCAACAATTCAGATTGGTTTTGTGCCTAATCTTCTGAAAATATGGTGAGATTATCAGAAGGGAAAAACAAGGAAAACTACCATGAGGACATAACATCGCAAAGTTGGCTGTGAGAATTCAAGGAAGAGATTGCTTTCACTCAAAAGCTATTGAAAATATAGGGAGATCATCCAAGGGACAAAACAAGTGAGAAAGTTCTTCCTCACCGCTTGGCGTTCCTTTCTTTGGGTTCCATGCTTCCATTCCTTCATATACATAGATTTTCATGTGCAAGTCGATCAGAGGCCTGGCATAACGCTTCCTCCTCTTGTTTGCATCAGCCTCCTCATATATACTCCGATGGTGCTTATGCTGGGCGATGGCAAATGTGTTCCTTCCTCGCCACAAGTAACTGCACTCAAATAACCCGTACAATTGTAAATCCTACATTACAAGAGAGAGGGAGAGAGCACAACAATTTTTCATGGAAGGCATGCATATGTAAGTTGCAAAGGGACGTAAACAAACCGTTCAAGAATAAGAAGGGGATCAACAATGAGTTCCATTTTTCCATCAATCCAAATGCTATATTGGGCTTGAGGAAACAGCCTGTGTATTAGGATTTTAGGTACCTTCCCGTTCCTTCTGGGTTCATCATAAGGAGGTTTGTGAAGTACGATAAGACGCCAAATTCCCACCCACTTTCCACCATCACTGTCCTCTGTGATAGCATCAATTTTTTTAATCTTAGCAAAGGAGAACTCATCCACCACCATAAGAAAGCAAAAGAGCTTCTTAGACCGAGTGCTGATATTTGATGGCTGATGGGGGGTGTCATAACCATCAAAAATACCAGAAGCCACCACAAACTTGCATTTCCTGACATATTTAATTTCCACTGCATCCATCTCCGCCCCCCCATTTTTCATAAAACCGCAGTGTACCTAGAAGAAAGTGAGAGTAACAATCACCATCCAGCTTTGAAGAATCTAAATGTATAAAAGCATGAAAAGATCAACCATGCGCAAAGGACCAATACGAGGGATTCCATAAAGAGAAGATTAATGAGGAAGCTTCCGGTAAGAACTCTTAGACAGATGAAAAACTGGTAAAAAGGTTCAAGCTTTGATAGTTTTCCTTTTTTTTTTTTAAAGATGTTGACTGTTCTATACTATTAAGGTAAAGAGAGTTACACACAATCATAAATAGGTTTCCCACTTCCCCGGAAGCCGTTCAAGCTTCGATAGTTAAACAAAAGAAGATCCAAGTATTGTATTCTGATCTTCAAATCTAAACTTCACAAAAAAGGGAGTTAAATGAAGAATCTTTAATGATTAGTTTACACCAAAGCTGGCTCAACTACAAACCAGCAAACAAAAGTTCACGGTTAACTATTCTAGAAACAAATAAACAGACAATGTCAGGGACAACCTGATATCTTCTCTTTATCATTTCCAGGCAACACCCATCAAGATTTTATTTTTCTTGAAGACTACCACAAGAAAAGCGATCACAGTAATAAGCATCAGTCACTGAAAATTACAATAGCTGGCGTCGCTCTGGCACTGGAGCAATGCACCTTATTTCATAGTTCATTTCCCTAGAAACAAATAAACAGACAATGTCAGGGACAACCTGATATCTTCTCTTTATCATTTCCAGGCAAGACCCATCAAGATTTTATTTTTCTTGAAGACTACCACAAGAAAAGCGGTCACAGTAATAAGCATCAGTCACTGAAAATTACAATAGCTGGCGTCGCTCTGGCACTGGAGCAATGCACCTTATTTCATAGTTCATTTCCCTAGGACTTGGGGAAGAATGCCACTTCTTTTGAAGCTTCTATAACCTATAAGGCTCGTGGTTCCAAGGTGCTTAGTACTTACAGTAACTCTAGGATAGATTTATGTGATGGAGGGGGTGAAGGTTGAACTCTTCCTACAATGCAGCAATCCAGGTCAACTGGCACACTGCTTGACTGATGCTCAAACTTGATTCCTTGGGGAAGAATGCCACTTCTTTTGAAGCTTCTATAACCTATAAGGCTCGTGGTTCCAAGGTGCTTAGTACTTACAGTAACTCTAGGATAGATTTATGTGATGGAGGGGGTGAAGGTTGAACTCTTCCTACAATGCAGCAATCCAGGTCAACTGGCACACTGCTTGACTGATGCTCAAACTTGATTCTTGTGATGGAGGGGGTGAAGGTTGAACTCTTCCTACAATGCAGCAATCCAGGTCAACTTGCACACTTCTTCGTCTTCTTCTTCTTCTTCTTTCTCTTTCCCTTTTTCTGAGGTGGGGTAGGTAAGCAGTGGGATTGGAACTCTTGACTTACATTGCGGTTTCACCACCCTGACCACCCAAACCAAGGGTCCCGCTCTCAGCCTGCCATGTTATCATATTCAGAGCTGGTAACCTGCTCAGAAAAGTGGTGTGGTGGAATCCTTTGTATGCAAGTTCCTAAAATTTGGATGCTTCCCTCTGAACCCAACTGCTTTTGTACAAAAGTCTTACCCAACTGCTTTTGTACAAAAGTCTTACTTCCTTTTTTTGGACATAGAGAAGTTGAAACCTGAGGCAGTTGAAACCTGACTTCACTAGAAACCTCACTCATCTTCTAGACTTTTGTAGCCTCATGAATGAGGCATCCTTTATTCTTAGGTTAGGCGTTGACCGCTTAGTACGGATATATGAGGTCACTTGAGGCTTCTCCATCAAATACTTTGGTAGGTCTCTCATGTTAACTGACACTCATGTATCACATGGCAGTTGGTTTACAGGATCTCCACGCCACCTAACTGTCTACTCTTAATGGTTGTTTTGCTAATGATGGTAGCCATCTTCAGCCCACATGAATTCAATTTTACAATTACTACTTAATGTCCATGGAACCTATGAGACAATGAATCACCTACGCATACACACTTCGTGCGTTTATCTAGTCTTTCCTAGAGTTGACTATGTGTGGCCCTCATGATCTACTCGGCAGCTTTGCCCTTTCAGCTGAAGCAAATCCTTCAGGATATATATTTTGTTCTTTTTCTTATTTTTTTTAAGTGAACATGCACAAATATTGGAAGAAATACGCAAATGGAGAATTTGTATACAGACATGAGTATCCGATCCAAAACATATATTATTATATACAGTGTACAATGTTCTGGAACCTTGCTCAGGCCTCGGACACGCCCCAAGCCAGGCAAGTTACTCGTGTAAGTCCCGAGCAGACTCCCTGAGTAGTTTTACATTCCTAAAAAGGCTATAAATTTGAAAAAAAAAATTGTTAAAAAATATTAAACCAAAACCAAACCCTAAAGATCACTAAAAGTCAAAAAATGCTGAAAAAAATATAAAAGACGGAATTCTGAAAAAAAATTTCACAGCTTGAAATAATTCAGAAAATTCCAAAAAGGGGGAAGAATAAAAATAGAGAAAATGATAGAAAAGTTCATAAATTATCATCCAAATTACATAGGAACATGTTTATACAATGATTTTGTAAAGAAATACATTTTTTTTTATGAATTTACTTTCACATTATTAATTTGCCGAGTTTGTACACCACTACTTGGTTCACGAGGTGCCTAATCCTAGTGACTCGGTTGGCTCCCGACTTTGTTATAACTAGTATAATATGTATATATTACATAAAGGCAAACATTTATAAAAGGTATCAACCTTATACTGTGGAAGTAAGGTGCACCTCAAAAATAAACTTGTAAAGGTTGTTCTGCTGTTGCAAAATACTACAATTGATCATCTCAACTTCGAGATATATGGATATGAAAGAACAAATAGATTTCAAGTCCTAAAAATAGTGCATCTTGTAACACATTATCTAGAACATCTATTTTCAAGATTTTTGTGTGCATGTAGATCTGCTTGATCTATGCCATTTTGGAGTTTGAATTTCATAATTAAGGGTGAAATTAAGTTTCTTGACCACCATTAAGTTTTCTGGCATCAGAACAACCTTTTGGGGTAGATTTTTGAGTTGCACCTTACTTTTACAACATAAGGTTCACGACTTATACAAACCGCACCCATACATAAGTGTGTTTGCAAAGAAAATTTATTCTATAAGCAATGGCCATATGCGACAGTATAAGCCAATTGGCTACGCTGCTAAAACACATGGCTAGGGTTGAGATTATGCACATCTTTGATTAAAAACAAAAAATATCGATTTTGAGGTCGTGAAGGCCTAGAAACACCATCCATCAAATGGATGGTTTTTGTATATCAAAAATGGCAAACTCATTTCTCCCCTTTTTTGCGTGAGTTCAAATACAAGTGCGTATACTGGTGCACCCATGGGAGCATTGTACACCTACTCCCTTGGGCACAAGAACTGATAGGGAGGACTTTTTTCATGTGAAATTTTGGGAACCACTTAGTATCACTATATGATTATTTTTAAAAGAATAAATTTGAATTCTAAGTTCTCTAACCTTTGGAACTCACCCTTCACAAATTGGACAGTCTTTGTTCAATCTTTACAAATTATTTTTCTCAAGTTCATTAAGTGAAGCTTGGAAATTTTTTCAATTGAGGTAAGTCTATGGGTTGAAGAGGTTGCATCCCAAAATTTTGGGGTCCGAAAAATACTCATAGATTGGGTTTTACCCGAATGCTCCCACAGAAGCATAAAATCTTTTCGTTTCAAAAATTACATTTTTCTTTTCCTTTTGTTATTTTTTTCCCATCTGACTGATTCGATGAAAAGAGTACATGCGCAAATTTTGGGGTCCAACAATTCCTCTAGCTCCAAGGGCCTTATGTTACAATAGAAGCATGTAGACTCATAGGACCTTTCTCCATACGTTAGACTCATAGGACCTTTCTCCATATGCTACAGAGGTTTTATATGTTATTATTATGTCAACTTTTATTTACAAATATTCATGCATTATAGAGTATGGTATGAAATTATTCTATAATCTATACTACAGTATAGTTCACTAATTGACTATATTTGAACTATATTTCATCAGATTGTTGAGTTGAATAGGAACTCAGTGGTATCAATTCATTGAACTACGCAGGTAAATATACATTTCAAAAAAATTAACTGGAGGACAGTTAGACACATTACAATCTCTTGGAGTGACTTGGGCAATTCAATGGAGCTGCTCGAATCTCATAAGAGCCTGGGCTTTGAGAATCATCTCATTCTCTAATTCAGTGGCCAACTAGTTTTCAGTCTAAACTGGAAAATGGATATGGACAAAGCTGAGTACAATCAGGCAATCGCAAGCTGACTTGCAAAGTCAATGGTTTAAAGAAGTTCAAATCCCAAATTATGCACCCAAGAGAAAAAAAAGAAAAATTGATTTTTATGTGAATGTGTGCACCAATACTACCTATTTGTCCCGATGGGTATTTTGATCTGCCATGTGCTGCAGCAGAGGTTCCTAACCACAGTTTGTCCCTGTACCCAAATAGTTGGGAAAGGGTCTGATGATGATGATGATGATGATGATGATGTGTAGCCAAGCTGCCCTACCCACAAAAGAAAAAATAATGGGCCCCATACAGAAACAATGATAGCATCCAAGATAGAGGGGCACATCTAGGTAATGGGTGAACCATGTTGGCAAAAGCTTGCATGAGAAGCATTGCAAAGTTGTCCCAAAATTTAATAATGTGCACTACAGTGAATTTAATAGTCAGTGAGCCATGCTGCTAGCTTTGAATAAAAACCTGAAGTTGCAAAACTATAGTCAAGTGAACAGCTCAAACATATAACCCTCGAACACATAAATTACTTACAACTACACAAACAAATATGCATAATCAAAGAAATATCTACTAACAAGGTGATCTTGCTTACCCTCATAGTTGTAGTTAGCTTAAAACTCTCATCTCTTTGCTTCCAAGTTTCACGTCCACCAAACAAAGGATCACCATTGAAAGACTCATCGTCTGAAATGTATGAGAGGTTTTGAGGCAATGTCTTAGCAGTACTGCGTTTTGGAATGACTATGGCATCTGGGTCATTTGGGAGGGGAATTGGACAACCTAAATTCATAACAAAATAAATTTAATGCACAAATTGCACATTCTATGGAAAAGATCTCAGATAAAAAAATGAAGTTTCTAGAAAAGAAAAAGAATTGGCATTCCTATATAATCTTACGGTGCATTGGTTTTGGCAGAAGCCCCACAGTGTCAAGCAAACCAAACATCTTGCTGTCCCTTCTACAATGACCTTCATATTTAGACAAGAAGAGTCAAACAGTAAATTTAATTCAGTAGAAAGATGTTCAAGGCTATATCATGTCCTATACAAATGCACCCAGAGGACATAACATAAAAAACAAGAGAAATCACTCTTTGTGGTCCATCTCATAGTCATAGTAATTCACTTCAAGGGCCCCTCAAAGAGCAAAATCAATTCACTTCCCTTCCATAACAAAGGACCCCTCAAAGAAGTACAGAAGAACTTGTAACTCATGTTAGAAGATTTCTGCTTTAGCGTCCACAAGGGAACAAATACTAACAGATCTTTTCTAATTATTGTTAAAAATTCTAGTGAATCTCTTTGGACATCGTCAAGGCTATTCTGATACAGGCCCCTATACCAGATTTTATTATAATTTAGTTTTGATTTTAAGAAAGCCGTATATGGCTTGCCCTACATGATTTCTTTGGGATAAAGAGAAAATCTCCAAGTAACTTCCTTCAATTCACGGGCCAAATCCTCAACTCTGTAGGCCAAAGGAACCTCTGAGGCCAAAGGCACAAAGGATCACAAAGAGAGGGCCTAACAGAAAAACCTTTCAGTTGATCATTTTCTGCATTTCACATACTTTGCGAAGTTCCATCTTTGCAAAAAACAAACCGTAACCACCTCATTTGTGCAAAAGATTCCATGATTCAACATGAGGACACAAAAGTGATGGTCATCCCAAGGGGAACAGAATCCTCTCCGGGCCTTGCACACAGATCACTATCCTTCTCAGAACCCTTTATTTAACCAATCTCACATTGACAACAACAATCCAAAATGCCATGGTAGCCTAAATACTTGGATTGCTCGATATACCCAAAATAGTAATTTAGTTTATTCAACAGAACCACAATGTAAAATATGATGAAAGACAAATAAGTCAACAATGAGTATCTAGAGGTGACGAAATATCACCTATATGCTCAACATTGACTTGATGAATCAAGTAAACTGTCTGCGAAGCAATGTGATAAATCTATACCTAGTGTAATTGAGCAGATCGGGAAAGCATGCACTTATTATTTCATTCACGTTGACCTCTTTCAGGGTTATATAGCTGCCAGCCTTGATATGATTCAAGCACCATGGTGCCACTCATCCCTCTGATACATTATGGTCAAAGACAGGAGTTCTATGATTGAATTTGTAACAACAAAAACCATTGCACATCCATGCTCCACATCAGGATAAGAAGTTCAAAGGGCAGGAAAAGCTGTGTATAGTACAAGTATCTTCATGAAATGCTCCTTAACATACCTGAAGAGACAAATAACGCTGATTGGCATGACCATATTATAATTAACAGAGAAATGAGAATCAAGAGTATCCACCAGATGCCTGCTACAAGACTAAAACGCAGAAAGCTCCTCCTCAAAACAAACTTAAATGGAGAATCTTCAGAGGATCTCTGAGAAAAAATTGCACCATAGTCGGCATCTGCATTCACCATGGTAATAAAGGTTGTCTTTTAAATGAACAACTAAAAGAATAGAAAGAGTTCAACAAATAACAAATCCAACACTTATATTACCTTTTATCTTTTGGCTTTCAGAAACTCTGTCGATTCTACAAACTGTTGTTCTTAAAGAATTGGAACGGGTAACTTCAGTATCCATTGCACAGGGTTTCTTCGCAGAATAGATCACAAATGCAGGGGAAAATAAAATAAATTCAGATCAATTAATAAAAGAAATGAAACAAAAATCATGAACGAACGAGGGCTACAACAAAAGCTTATATTGCTAAAAAGAAACTTCGATCTTGTTGAATTCAAAAATCATAAACAACCATTAATGCCCCATTGATGAAAGAACCAATGCAAAGGGCAGAAACTCACAATCAAGATTGGTCAAAAGTAAGACTCAGTGTAATCTTCAAATTCATTGCCTTTAGGCTTCCCCCCTGCAACAAATATTACTGAAATTTCAACAGAGAAAGATAAGATATACACAATAAGATTTTCATAACAGAAGACTGTTAACCATCTAATTTTAAAAGTCAAAATTCAAAAGTCAAAAGTCAAAAGGAAATTTTGGAAACGAATGTGGCCGTAGTCACTCAGAATCTCATTTTTCAGATGCATGCCTACCTTAGTGATTGTCATAAACCCTACTAAATCGAAGAAATGGCATCGTACTCTCGAAATGGATGGTGGCTATGAACTAAACACCATTTTGGATCTAATGAGTTGAGAGTTGTGCTCTGATATTCATGTTCTACATCATCATTCAAATAGATGGTTTTTTTCCTTTTTTTTATGCTGCAAGGTGAGAAAGCGGTACACACATGGGAGCTGGAGCATGATTTCAAGCCTGGTTCCTTTGTCTCCTCTTTCACTCTAGTGGTGTTCGGCGTCGGAAGCACACTGTACAAGTACTCCCTCGGGCAAAAGTCGATTATGGAGTGGTCATCCCGTTGGAAATAAGTGCAAAGCCCCCAAGAGTCCGCAGTTTGACATGTTTGAATAAGAATAGTTACTTTTGGTATAAGGACATAACGATAAGTATTGGTCATTTACATGTGAAATCGGGTGGCTGGGGGGATCATTGACTGGGCACAACATCCAAAATATAATTTCTTGAACTAGGTTACATATTTTAAGTTGCCGGATTTCACATCCAATAGCTAAAGGATGATTGTAGACATTTTTGTACCAAACATGAATGGTCTTATAGTATGTAATCCCATATGCTCAAGGATTACATGTTCCTGAAGAAGCATACCGTCCATTTACTCCCTCGGTTACAACCTAATCCAGGAGTAGTTTTAGGACCCCAAATTTTGGGATGTGACCTTTTCAACCCACATGTTACACTCAATAAAAAGATTTCCAAATTGTATTCTCTAAGGGCTAGAAAAATATAATATGTCAAGATTGAATAGAAACCGTCCAAGTTTTGAAGGGTGAGATCTAAGCATTAGAAAACTTTGAATTTTTATTTATTTTTTGGTTTCTTTTGAAATTTGAACATAATCATATATAGTTTTTTAGGTGGTTCGCAAGTGAAACTTCTGCCCAAGGGAGTAAGTACAATATAATCCCGCAGCAGCACAACATACTCATATGCTTACTAGAATTTCTCCCACTGATTTGTGTATTTTTCTTATCATTTCCAATTGGGTAATCCATTAATCCAATTGGAGGAAAGTTATCTTCTCTCAAAAATTTAATCCAATTGGAGGAGGATTCTGGAATATGAAATATTCTATTCAGTTCAACAACAATAATATAATAAATTGTAGAACAATTATCTAAGCTCTATGACCTCATAATGGTGAGAAGCATAAATCAAATCCCAAAAACATATCCCATGATCATTTTAGGAATTGATTTAGTGTAGTAAGAAAGATGAAAATAGGTAGTTTTGTGGAGCTAAAATGAGGGTGTAAAACTGAGTGTAAAACTTGACAAGATGAAATAGCCATCAAGAAAGTAAAAATACCTTGCTGTAAAAACTCCTTAGTAGCAGGTTACAGCGACATTTAGAAGTCTAAATGGAGCTTTGGAAGTTGAAACTGAAGGTCATGAAAGTTGGAGATGATAATGCATCAGAAAGGGCCAGATTTCCATGGCCTTGGTGATAAGCATGGGTCCTTCTCTTACATGTGGTGTGCCACTCATTGAGTTCTTTCTCTATCATAAGTTAATCAAGGCCATTAGGTAGGGCAATGTCCTCCCTCCCTCCCTCGCAATTGAGGTTGTGAATGAATAATTGGGGTCTTTGAATTCAAGCTAAAAATCTTGCCCACTTCACTCTCTTCACCAACATTTCCCCAACCATAGCTCTGAACTGAACATCTCAGTCTCAGGAGCTTCCTTCTAGATCTTGAACACTTCATCTTCAAGGTCTTCAAGCCTTGAAAAATTGGCACTGAGAGCTCATCCCAATCCACAAAAACATTAAATAAATAAATGAAACCTCCACTGCTTATTTATTAAAATAAATTTTTTGTTAATTACTAACATTTAAGTGACGCCGAACAAATGGATCTCTATTCATCTCCTGCCTCTCATAATGGCCAAACCCCCGACTACAACTGAGCTCATAACTTTGTTCAGTTTCTTTCTATATTGCAGCAATGTGTTTCACTGCAGCCATTAAACTAGCACAAGTACATTTTAACAAAAATCTAAAGCTTCCGACTACCAAAATGTCAATGATACCATTCAAATTGCAATTTTTTATTGTGAAGAGTCTCAGATTTCTCTGAAGAGACTCTGTGTCCATTAATCATATAAGGGTGCAGTTGGCATACGGATGCCTCCATAGGTATAGAGTATGGTGCCCTTCAAATTTTATAATGGTATATAATTTTGATGTAAAATGTTATTAGGATTATCTCAAAATCTATTTTTATATCTAATTATAAAATTTTAAATTTCAAAAAAGGTTAAAATCAAGTAGATCTATAAACATATGAAAATCTTGAAAATGGACAGTGTAGATAATATGTTGTAAAATGCACTATTTCTGAGACTTAAAATCTTTTTATTTTTCATAGTCATACATCTCGACATCGAGATGATCAATCAAAGGGTTTTTCAACATTAAAACTACCTTTTCCGATGGATTTTTGAGGGGCATCCGTAGTTCTACATTATAAGGTAGCATCCTTATATAAACTTTTTCCATCATATAAATATACTGACTTGTCTTTTATTGAGACTTACCATAAATACAAGATATTGCATCTACCCTTCCTAAATATACAAATTAGGATATATACATTCCATATTAACCAAATATACAATATATACTTTCCTTTCACACTCCCCCTCAAACTCAAGATGATGTGAGAGAGCAGCTGGAGTTTGAACACTAATTACGGAAACAATGAGCAGTTCGAACTTGAACACTAATTACGAAAACAATGAGCAGTTCGAACTTCAGGTGTATGGCATGACCAATAGATGCAGTGGTTGCCATGCTCAGATTGCTTGATCAACAAGCACATAAAGCAACGGTGGATCAAGAAGCCTCAAAAACAGATGGCCTCAAGAACTGAGGGCCATATCAGAGTAGGCTCGATCAATCAAATAAAAATTCAGATCAGAGAGTCGAAAATGACACGGCATAGAGACAAATCCGAGAATCGAAATACAACTCAGCAAAGAGTCGAAACACAACTCGACAGAAGTTGCACACAACAGATTCGTCTTGAAAATTGGCGACAATTCTATTGATAACTAAAAAAGAAAAAAAGAAGGAAAAAAAAATTATAAATCGCAAGTGGCAGACACAACAATCATATCAGGCCTTTGTGCCCGCATATAGCATTGATAGAACTCCCAAGTTCAAATACCCATTATTCAACCTAAAAGCAGCACACAAGCAATTCGACGGTCAAAAAGGTAAAAGCCTTTGCATTGCAATGGAAAATATGTAACACAAAAAACCCAACCGCAACAAAAACAAAGATAACCACATTAGAAATCTGATAAAATTCAAATCAAAGCATACAATAATTTTAAAAAAAGAAAATGATCAAGATCAAATGATAAGATACAAGGATGAAACTAAAAGAAGTTAAAAAAAAAAAAGAACATACCAGGAAATGAGTTCTTCTACACAGCAACCCTGGTTGCAGAGAGAATGAGAGAGAACCCCTACTTTTAGCTTCAGAAATAGAGCTCGGCTGGTGCTATGGCTTGAAAACATAGAGAGAGAGAGTGGGGCTAGGGCAGCGGGAGACAGTCGCGTCTCAGGCTTGTATTTAGAGAGAGGAAAGAGAAAGAGGGGCATAATGCACGTTGGGGCGAGTCCTCATATGGGAGCGTATTGGCAAAATCGAACCCAGATCAACGGACTTGCGGCCCGGAGCAGTTAGAACGGGGACGGAACTAACCGGGCGGATAACAGGACTAAGCCGTCCACTAGATTAAAAATAAAAAAATAATAATAATAATAAAAATTAGATTAATATATTATTTACATTTATCTTAAAAAAAATTGAAACAATTTTTTATATAAATTAATATTTGAATACTATGGAGATGTATAAGACAATTTATAATTTGACATTAATTCAATTAATGAAATTACAAAGTCCAACTAACAATGACTAATATTAATGAGAGTGGCGAGGGGAATCAAGGTACTGTTGTGTTTTGCTATCGGGGTTCACGGGGTGAAATATCTGAGTAGGGCCTGGGGGAGTTGTAATGCCGCAGTTGTACTCCCTCATCAGTTACGAACATTTCCTATGGTACTCCTTGGCCAACGTCTGTTAGACTCGTCTAGCCTTCGTGGTCTTTCTCACCTTTTTCTGTGTTACCCCCACCATGTTCTATGTTATGGCCTTCAACAGCTTCAGTATTGTCACCATCATAAATAACCAAGTTATGGTGTCGGCTACGATTTCATCTCTCTCTTGTCGAGTAGTTACTATGCTTGGATTTCCTCTCGAGCCAATTTCATTGGATCTTCTTCATCATCGAGTACAGCATCATATTGCGCCTCTTCATATTACTGGATGACTGAACTTTACCAATCGTTTTCCATTGTCACATCGTCATCTATGCCTCATCTTCATTCCCGACATAATTGTCATAGTCGATATCTATGTCCACTGTTATGTCTTATTCATTAGGTGCTGCAACATCCACATTATCATCCATAACGACAACTGGCCCACTAAGAAAATCTTGGTCTAATAGTAAGGTCCTTTGTGATATCCACTCATGGCTGAGGTCTGTCCACCATCTTGTTGACACAAATAAAAATAGATATACTTAACAATAGAAAAAAAATTGATTTAAAAAGACCATAAATAGTATTGTATTAAACTATTATAAGTTTTAACTTAAAACTAACCTGGATACAATTTTTCAACTGCTTTTGTGGCATTGTTGTACACAAATTCCCCATTTTTTTCATGTATATGATAAGCTAAAAATAACAAGATGTGTATACAAGAAATTAGTATAACATAGGAATGCAATTCATTACTCTAAATTGAAATTTTATTGATCATAAAAAACATATATTTATAAAAATGCATAATTTTATCGCAAAAAAAAACTTTAATTAAGAACACAAAAAATCGAGCCAAAATCATAAAGAACACTAGAATTAACCCAAAATAAACAGAAATTCAATTCGTATGATAAAAAAATGCACTATTTTCCTCCATTATTACAAATACAACTACATCATGCACTTAATGAAAATCTAGAATTAACCCAAAATAAAAATAAATTCAATGTGTATGATAAAGATGCACTATTTTCCTCCATTATTACAAATACAACTACATCATGCACTTAATAAAAATAACTAAAAAGATCGAGCAAAAAATCGAGCTAAAGATCAAGCAACATTATTATGCACTGTATGATACACTTATTTTAATTTGTTGTTTGAAAAAATATATAACATTAAAAAGAAGGAATTTTTTTTTTGCTTATATTCATCACAAAAAATATATTTTTATAAAAAAATAATAATTTGATTGAAAAGCATAACTTTTTTAAGAAACATTAAAATCGAGCCAAATTATTTAAAAACACCAAAATTTTCGAGTCAAAATCAACCCCCAATTTTCCTCTTTTTTTTTAACAAATTGAAATAGATGAATCTTTTAACAAATTCAGTAGTGAAAACGCTCTAAAAAAATGGCAAAAATTTCAGTTCATGAAAAATTTGTGACAAAAACGCAGGAAAAATCCATATAAAAAATCTGCTCGATAATAAATCAATATATTTCGTCCTAGTATCATCATAATCAAAAAAGTGTTGTTTATACACCATTCCATTCCGTCAATTGAATACAACAAGGGAAATCTGGTGCAAGAATAGTGGGGTGGGAATAGTGAAAATATACAAAATCAATAACAAGGGTAGAAAAACTTATTAGATGCCATTGACTCCGGTAAGGTATTTGATAGATGGAGCCTTAATGATCAAAATGCACAACTCAATTTTATAAAAAACGAGCAATAGATCAATCAGAAATGAGTTTATGGGATCGAACACAGTTCTTTGAGCAGTAGCTTTGCAGGCAGAAATCAATTTGCAATCTTCATCTTTTTGGACAAATTGAAATAGGGAATTGATGAATGCTTTAATAATGATTCAAAGCCCTCAAGTTTCACGAAGATCCATGCAGTACTGAAGGTGCTATTGAGAAAATGATGGAAATTTCAAAGATTTAAAAATCCGCCACTTCAATATGCAAAATCTCATTCTTTTCGATTTTTCATTATAGTTTCAATGTTTTATAGAGATTTGATAGTGTTGTACAACAATAAACCACAAAAAAACTACAAAAAAAGGAAGAAAATCAAATCTACAAAACTGTAAAAGGTGGATTCACAAGTTCATGTATCATATAATGGTCCTTTTTAAATAACGCCCATTTTTTTTAAAAAAAATGTCTATTATTTTCAAAAAAAAAACGCATGTTTAGCATTAAACCGGTCTGATTAGTAGAAACCAGTGTATCAGAAAGCGCGTCTAAGTGGGCGCCCAAAACCTGAGCGGCTACCCAGTTGAAAAAAAAGTAAAAATCCCAATATACCATATTCCAAGTTGAAAAAAAGAAAAAGAAAAAGATAGAAGTCGAGAAGAGAATTTGATAATCCATATTGTTAAAACAGTAAACTGTAAAACTAAACAACTGATACAAGTGTAGGATATAAAAGTCAACACTCAACACAATAGAAATATACATAAATTTTAAAAATATACAGTCTAACAAAAGTCAGCACTTATGACTCAATGCAAAAGTCAACTGACTCAACACTCAACAGTTAGCACCAAGAGGCAAGAGTCTTCAATCATCATCATCATCAGAAGGAATATCAATAAGGCAAACCTCATCATATGCATCAGAGTCGAGGCTATCATCATCATAATCATCTCCATCTTCAATATAACATTTGTCCTCTCTGTTTCTTCTGAATCTACCTCTTCCTCCTCCTCTTCTTCTATCTTTCTCTCACTAGTATGTGCAGATGAGGCCTTAAGAGTCTTGACTGCTTGATCTTTTGTTTTGCGCTTCTCTGAACTCAAATATTGTATAATTTTCTCTTTGGTAGCCTCAAGAACATTTTTACACGGGGCAACATCCCATGTAATACCAACCATGGTGTTTTTTAAACCGATAAATGCTTCCATTAGTATCCTTTGCACAATAATTACATTTAATACGATTTTTATCACTTGGATTCGGGTTATAACTACACTTCCAACACGGATCACCTCTCCGACTAGAAATTGAAGAAGATACTTCATAAAACAAGGCTTATTTTCATCTTTTTTTTGTTCTTCAAAATTCAGAAGATGCCTAATCTCATCTCGAACTGCTTCAGGAACCTCTGTACAAGAAGTAACATTACTTTTAACACCAGTAAGATGTTATTTAAACAGCTAATAACCCCATTGGTATCTTTTTCACAAAAATTACACTTTATATAATTTTTATCAGTTGGTTTTGAATTGTAACCATACTTCTAACTTGGATCACTTTTTTCTAAGAGTAGCAAAAATATATCTATGACAAAGATTTTATTTTTGTTTTTGTTTTCCATAACTTAAAAATTGTTTAATCTCCTCCTTGATAGCTTCATAAACATTTTTACAAGTGGCAACATCTCCCTTAATACCAGCAAGATGTTTCTTAAACCGGTTTATACCTCATTTTGTATCTTTTTCACAAAAATTGCATCATTTGGATTCCGGTTGTATCCATATTTCCAACCCTGATCTCCACTCCGACTAACTCCTGAAGAAGACATATCAAAATAAAACAAGCAATCTAAAAAATACACTTACTTTGGTTTTTTGAAGATCTCCACTCTGACTAACTCCTGAAAAAGACATCTAAAAATAAAACAAGCAAACTAAAAAATACACTTACTTTAGTTTTTTGAACTCCAAACTTTGAGAAACACTTCGCTGATTTGATTTTTTGAACTCCAAACTTTGAGAAACACTTCAATGATTTGATCCATTGCAATGTAAATTGATCTAATGAAATGTAATTTTTTGAAAGTTTCTGGTACTCTAAAAGGGATTATGGTGGGTTGAGGGTTCCAATGTCATCATTCTTACCTTTTATATCTTTTAAAAAAATGAAAAAAAAAAAAGTTTTCCACCTTTGGGTAGGGCACAAGCCGCCTAGGCGGCCACCCAGAAAAGACCGCCCAGTTTTACAGTTTTATCTCCTAGGCCTAAGCGATGCGCCCAGGCCTTCTGGACCGCCTAAGCGGTAAGCGGCCCGTTTTTCTGAACTATGACAAAAACTGACCGGTTTTTAATTAAATTCACCGATTCAAGGCCTAACCAGCTGGATTTGGACCCTTTATGAGGTGTTCATCAAACTACTGGTACTACAAAACTGGGCCTAACCTGACTCGGAACCCTAACAGCTCCAAGCTGACCAACTGGTTTTACGAACAATGGATATATGCATGCTTCAAATTTCACGGTAAATTACACCTAAGCCGTGATTCAAGCAGTATCAAACATCTACTCAATCTGACGGCTTCTATATATGGGTTGAGTCACATGTGAAGCTTTCCCTTTAACGAATTCATGCAAATTTTTGGGAAGCGATGTAACCAGTTCAAATGTGCAGGTAAAACAATTACCCATAAAAAATGTGCGGGTAAAACGACAATTAACTCTCCTTATTATATCTCATGTCATGTGCTCATAAAAACACTCCTCTCAAGAAAGAACTAATATACATTGAAGGAACAGCAATTTGCATTATTGATTTTAAACAACAAAAGGGCTATTTATAATTTTCTAAACAAATATAAATACTTCAAAAATTCCCACAAATTTTCACTATAACCAGCGTGGAGCCCCAAAACATGTGAAAAGACTAGAGATGTAGGAGGTAACCCAAAGATGCACCAACAAGGCCGATAAAACAGACAAATAAAAAGGAGAAACCCACTTGCACTTTCACTCGAGGCCGCTTTTTCACTAATGCCTGCAAAACCAATAGAGGAAAGAGGGTGCTTTAAATGCGTTGGAAAAAAAAAAAATTTGCCTACCGATGCCAAATATTATCAGAAAACTCAGATAAAATCCTGATCCCATGCATATAACTAAGAGAGAGAGAGAGAGTCCATGTTTGGAGACTTGGCCGAGGCCCCTCGGACTCGGCCAGATTACTCGGCCACGCCCTAAAGGCAAGGCAAGTTTCATCCAAATAGCTTGTACCAATTTATAAATTGTAAATATATGTTATTATGTCAACTGTAAACGCTTGAATAACCTTTTGGATAGTGTAAGTGCATGAGCGACTGGGTAATCTTTTAAGAGTGCAAATCTTTTAAGGGAGAATGAAAATGCAACCCAATTAGGAGACTTACCATTTCTTGTTGCAATGTTTCATTTTGCTCGAGGATAATGCTTTTCTCTTCCTGCAACCTTGTCATCATCCTCTCAGCCTGAAAATGTTCCATCCACAATCATTAGAACCTTGAGCTAAAAAAAGGGCTCAAAAATGAAATTTTAATTGGACAGAAAGTTTAAAGACACACAACAATTGAAAAAAAAAGGGGGAAGCATGACATAATGCTCATCTCGATGTTTTCACAACTGCTAACCCTTACCCTCACTCTATAAAAATTTGCACTCCCATGAAAAATGCTCTTCTGTTGAATTTATTTTGTTCTCTCCTCCAGCACTGTTTAAAAAAGCCAAGGTACAACACCTCCTGTGTTGTTACAGAAGGGCCAGATTTCCAAGAACTAATAAACTCCTTTAGGGTCCCAAAGAAACCGAAGAAATGGCCCCGCATTCCTCTAGGAAATTCACCAATGCTTCTTCTCTTGAGCCATTCCAAACAATGCACAAAACTTTTGCAATTGGATACCACTGTTTCGAAGATGGTTAACTATGAGCATTGTGTCCCTAAGCACTCAATCAAAGCCACTTCCATAAGGAGGCGCTAATAACCTCTTTTAACTTGCAGCACACGTTTTACTTCGCTTTCAGCATGAATACTAGTTTAAGTGGTTTAGAGCACAATGACAAATCAGGATTTTTGTAGCCGATCCCAAATAGTTGGAAAAAGAATATGATGATATATATATACACCATTGGGCCCCGAACCTTTGTTCGAGCATCGAATCTGTTGCGCTCCAATATTTTTCCTTGAATCTGCTTTCGCTTGACAGCCGGCCCCCACGGTTCTGGTTCTTTCGGGCGAGAAGCAAGCCGGGGCCTACAGGCGGGCATCTCCCGCAGCGCAAGCGGCATTTTTCGCCACCCGATAAGCAAATGATTCGAGAGTAAAGGCGGAAAATACATACATATGAAAGCCACTACACAACGCCTATGGGCGAAAATGAACAGTGTTTTGCCCATAAGCTCGACACAATCCGATTTTTTTGGACGGGGTAGATTAAAAGATTGCAACGGACATAGTAGGTCCGTTGCAGTATTTTTCATGCAAAAAAACACGGGCAACCGCCACAACTCCCGTAGATCCGTGGCGTTTTTAAGGCAAAACCGTCACGGACATAGCATATCTGTAGCGGGGCGAAACACTATTCAATTTCGCCTATAGGTGTTTTTAAGAGT